ACCTGAGAGCACCAAAATACATAAAGCAATTATTAACAGAATTAAAGGAAGAAACTGACAAAAATACAATTATAGTAGGGAAGCTAAATACCTCATTGACAGCAACAAGTACATCATCCAAACAGAAAATCAATAAAGAAATATCAGCCTCCAATGACATATTAGACCAAGTGGACATAATCGATATTTACAGAGCTTTTCATCCCTAAACACCAGAATATACATTTTTCTCTAGTGCACACGACATATTCTCAAGGAGAGACCATATTTTGGAGCACAAAGCTAGTCTCAACAAATTCAAAAAGATTGAAAGCATAGTCTCTGACCACAGGGTTTTGAAACTGAAAGTCAACTGCAAAAAGCAAGCTGGAAAAAATGCAAATATGTGGAGATTAAACAACATGCTACTGAAACACTACTGGGTCAATGAGAATGACATTATGACATATCAAAGTCTTTGGAATGCAGCAAAAGCAATAATAAGAGGAAAGTTTACAGGTCTGCCTCAATAAACAACAACAACAAAATCTTTTAAAAATAACCTAACATTTCACCTTAGGAAAATAAGAATGAACAAAGCCCAAAGTCCGTAGAAGAAAGAAAACCATGAAAATCAAAGCAGAATTAATATAGAGAACAAAGAAACGATAGAAAAATTAAAGCAAGAAAGAATTGGTTCTTGAAAAGATTAATAAAATTGACATTTGTTTGGCTAGACTAAGGCAAAGAGAGAAAGGACCCAAACAAAAGCAGAAATGAAAGTTACAAAGAAAAACAGAAATACAAAGGACTACGTAAGAGTACTCTAAAAGGCTATGTGCCGCCAAATTAGATCACATGGAAGAGATGGACAAGCGCTTAGAAAACATATAACCTCCCTAGACTCATTCACAAAGAACTGAAAAATCTAAGTAGACTGAGCTGCAGAAAGGAAACAGTCATTAAAAACCTCCCCAAAAGTAAACATCCAGGACCAGATGGCTTCACAAATGAATCTACCAAACATTCAAAGAAGGCAATACCTGACCTCAAACTCTTTCCAAAAATGGAAGAAGAGGCAATACTTCCTAACTCACTTTATTAGGCCAATAGCACCCTGTTACCAAAACTTGGCAAGGCACACACACACACACACACACACACACACACACACACACACAGTAAAGACCTAAAGACCAATAGTATCTCTGCTGCATACGGATGCAAATCCGAAACATAAGACTAGCAAATCGAATACGTGTAAAAGATGATGCTTTGTGGTCACAGGGGGTTCATTCCAGGGGTTCGAGAATGGTTTAATATTTGCAGGTCAACATGACACGTCACATCAACAAAATGAAAGATAAAGTCATATGATCATATCAATAGATGCAGAAAAAGCATTTGACAAGGTACACCTATTGATGCTGAAAACAGTCAACAGAATGGGTATAGGAGGAAAGTGCCTCAACATAATGAAGGCCATATATGGACAAACCCTCAGCTAATATCACACTCAAGGGTGGGAAACTGAAAGCTTTTCCTCTAAGATTAGGAACAAAACAAGGATGCCCGCTCTCGCCACTGACTGTCAGAGCAATCAGGCAAGAGAAAGAGATAAAAGGCATCCACATTGGGATTGACAAAGTAAAATCGTCCTTATGGCACACGACATGATTCTATATACAGAAAACCCTAAAGACTTCACCAAAGATCTATTAGAAACAATAAACAAATACAGTAAAAGTTGCAGGATAAAAATTCAATGGACAGCCCTGGCTGGTTTGGCTCAGTGGTTAGAACGTCAGCCTAGGACTGAAGGATCCCGGGTTTGATTTCAGCCAAGGGCACGTACCTCAGTAGCAGGTTTCATCCCTGGCCCCAGTAGGGGTGAGTGCGGGAGGCAACTAATAGATGTGTCTCACATCAATGTTTCTCTCTCTCTCTCTCTTCCTTCTACTCTCTGAAAAGCAATGGAAAAAATATCCTCTGGTGAGGATTAAAGAAAAAAGAAAAAAAATGTTCAATGTCACTAATCATCAGAGAGATGCAAATTAAAACTACAATGAGGTATCACCTCACGTCTGTCAGAACAGCTACATCAATAAATCAACAAACAACAAGTACTGGCGGGGATGTGGAGAAAAGGGAACCCTAGTGCATTGTTGGGTGGGAATGCAAACTGGTGCAGCCACTATGGAAAACAGTGTGGAGTTTCCTCAAAAAATTAAAAATGGAACTGCCTGTTGGCCCATCAACCCCACTTCTGGGTATATACCCTAAGAAACACTAATCAGAAAAAATATATGCACCCGTATGTTACAGCAGCGCAATTTACAATAGCTAAGACCTGGAAACAGTCCAAGCACCCATCAGTAGATGAGTGGATAAAAAAACCTGTGGGGCATTTACACCATGGAATACTATGCAGCTGTGAAGAAGAAGGATCTCTTACCCTTTGGGATGGCATGGTGGGGTCTGGAGATTATTATGCTAAGCGAAATAAGCCAGGCAGAGAAAGACATATATCACGTGATCTCACTTATGTGTGGAATCTAATGAACAAAATAAACACAAAATAGGACCAGAAGCATGGATACATGGAATCGACTGACAGGGGTCAGAGGAGAGGGGGATGGTGAGGATGGGAAGAGATCAACTCAAGTATATATAAACATATATGCATAGCCCATGGACACGGACAATAATGTGGTGAAGGCCTAGAAAGAGCAGAGGCTGGGTGGAGGGAGGCAAAGAAGGGGGGAATGGGGGACATCTGTAACAGAGTCAACAATAAATAAAATGGGCAGAGGATCTAAACACTTTTCCCAAGAAGACAAATGGCCAACAGATATATGAAAACATGCTCAACTTCACTAGCTATAAGGGAAATGCAAATCAAAACCACAATGAGATACCACCTCACACCCATTAGAATGGCTATTATCAACAAGACAGGTAATAACAAGTGCTGGGGAGGTTGTGGGGAAAAGGAACCCTCATTCACTGCTGTTGGGAATGTAAACTGGTGCAGCCACTGTGGAAACCAGTATGGAGGTTCCTCAAAAAATTAATTACAGTTAACATATGACCCAGCAATTGCTCTTCTGGGTATCTACCAAAAAAATTGAAAGCATTTTTTTCATAAAGATATATGTACCCCTATGTTCATTGCAGCATTATTTATAGTGGCCGAGACATGGAGACAACCTAAGAAGTGTCCTTTGATGAACAACTGGGCAAAGCTGTGGTACACATATACGGAACACTACTCCACCGTAAGAAAAGATGAAATACTGACGTTTGTGACAACATGGATGGATCTTGAATATCGCGCAAAGTGAAATAAGTCCGACGGACAGATGGAAACAAGAACCACAGGATTTCCTCATGGGGGATATAAATCAGAAAGCAAGAGACGAACAAATAAAACAAACTCATAGACACAGATGGCAATATGAAAGTCACCAGAGGGGAAGGGGTTTAGGGGCAGGATGAAGAGGGTAAGAGATCCAAATACACAGGGTGGGGCAAAAGTAGGCTGATAGTTGTGAGTATGCAAAATGATTTATTCTTGTAGGATGATTTATTAATGACTATTATTTTCTATGTGAACAACTGTAAACCTACTTTTGCCCCACCCTATATGGTGACGGAGGGAGACTAGACTTTGGGTGGTGAGCACACAATGTAATTTACAGATGATTATAGAATTGTACACTTGAGACTTACATACTGCTATTAATCAATGTCACCTCAATAAATTTAATTTTAAAAAAGGCTATCTGGGGTGGGTGCTCTTTGGTGATGAAATTGGGATGGAGGCCAGAGCAGAGGCTGTGAGACAGGCGTAAGAGGACNTTGAACATCGACCTATGATCCAGGAGATCACGGTTCAATTCCTGGTCAGGGCACATGCCAGGGTTGTGGACTTGATCCCCAGCAGGGGATGTGCAGGAGGCAGCCGATCAATGACTCATCATTGATGTTTCTATCCCTCCCTCTCCCTTCCTGTCTCTGAAATCAATAAAGACATATATATATATATATATATATATATGTCTTTATTGATTTCAGAGACAGGAAGGGAGAGGGAGGGATAGAAACATCAATGATGAGTCATTGATCGGCTGCCTCCTGCACATCCCCTGCTGGGGATCAAGTCCACAACCCTGGCATGTGCCCTGACCAGGAATTGAACCGTGATCTCCTGGATCATAGGTCGATGTTCAACCGCTGAGCCACACCAGCCAGGCTGTAGAGCTCTTCTTAGTGCGGGTTTCTCCAGAAGCAGAGGCCAAGGCAAGGATTTGAGATTATTTGGAAAAGGCGTACATTGGTAGGGGAGGAGGAAGTAACACAGGAAAAGGAAAGCAATCAAGAAAGGGTGTTATTTTCTTAGTTATTATTTTCATTGCTTTTCAGAGAATGGGAGAGAAACATCGATGTGAGAGACACATCTATTGATTGCCTCCCGCATGTGCCCCAACCTGGGCCAGGGATTGAGCCTGCAACCGAGGTACGTGCCCTTGGCCAGAATCAAATCCGGGACCCTTCAGTCCACAGGCCGATGCTCTAACCACTCAGCCAACCAGCTAGAGCAAGAACGGGTGTTAAGCCAGTACCTCTGTGGGGAACTGGAACTTATTTTTCTGTTGGGGAACTTCGAGAGCCATGTACAACACGCTCCCGAGTTATGCCAATAGAGAGGGGAGGGACCTGGAGTATTTATTTCCCATCTTCTCCCAGCCGGTGGTTGAGGGCTGCTTGAGTGGGAAGTTGCATGAACTCCCTGGCATTGAAGGCTTGCCATGCTCACATCTAAGGCACAGCAAAGCTTCACGTGCTGGCACTGGCAGTCAAGCCACCATGTGTTATAGGGGGAGGGTGACGACATAAGGACTTCGCACCCACAGTATCTGCTCCATGCTCCCACCCAGGACCATTCATCCAAACACTTCTCAGCCAGGCACCACAGCCACTCCCCAACACCAATGTCTCCAGAGATTAGACGACAGAAGTTCTAGGCAAACTGAGTTTAATAGGGAGTTTCAGGGAGGGATTCAGTGGAAATGCAGAGGTCTGGGACAGGGGCCCAGCTGAGTTCTAAATTAGAAAGCAGTAGGACCTAGGGGACTCTAATCTAGCAGAGTCCTTATATCTCAGGGTTAAGGACCTGGAGAGGTTGGGGGTTCATCTTAAGAACTCTACTGGGATGATACTGGGAGCTGTTTGGGATGCCCCACGTACCACATAGGGGAGTTATAGCTCAGGTTCCAGGTGTGAAGAGCTAAGTGGGGGAAGGGTTGGGGGTGCAGGGTGTTTCACAGAAACAATCAAGGGGCCTCAATTTCACAGAAATCATCAAGGGGGCTCCTTGTGAGTGAGGGAAGGATAGCACACCACCCCAAATATTGGGGGCTGTTTACCTCCACCCCAGCAGCCACTTTGAGGTTTTAATGTAAGACCCCAATGGCAGGACATTCCACATACATTATCATGGATTTGCAACATTAGCATACGCTGACTGTCCCACAGGACGGTGGGGACTGGAAAATCAGTCCAGGTTCTGGGTTTGAGTCCTAAGAGGACAGGCCTGGGGGTGCCACGCGGCTCCTCTTCAATAGCTGCCGGAGCTGTGAAGACAAGGCAGAGGGAGATGTTTTGGAGGTTGCAAAGAGAGGCAGGGAAGCACAAGCTGGTGAGGTTGGAAGTTAAAGAAAAGTTGAGTGGGGTCGGATGAGTTGGAAGATCAGGTCAGAGTCATGATTTGGAGTTGGGGGTGAAGGTCTAGGTTCACACATTGAGAAAAGACTCAGGAGGCAGAACTGGAGGTGAAGGGAAAACTTGCTGGTTGGGAGCTCCCGCCTTTGGGTTCACATTGAGGATGGGAGTTGAAGGGTAGAGACATGCGGTCAGAAGTCCCATTTGGGGGTGAGGAGTCCCACTTTGAGGTCAGGACTCAGGGTTAGGGGAAAGGGATTGGAGGTCACACTTGAGAATCAAAGGTCATACGCTGAGGTCAGGATTCAGGCTTGGAAGCAGAGGTGCCAGTCTGAGGTCAGGGTTGAAGTAGAGGTCAGGAGGAGTTACCATTTCAAGGTAAGGGATCAAATACTGAGGTAAGAGGTCGCGTTTTGGAGTCAGGGTTGGATAGGGGTCAAGGTGACCTTCTGAGATTATAAGGAACCCCCTGAGGTTAGGAATGAGTAGGGTCGAGGGTTGCCCAGTTAGGTCAGAGGTCACTCTGTAGTCAGGGTGGGCTCAGTGCTCACCCCCTCAGGGCCCGGCCCAGGACGCAGCAGGTGGACAGGCTGTTCGTTCTCCAGGTTTCGCAGTGTTGGATCCGCCCCGGCTGCCAGCAGGCGCCGCACTATGGCCTCCTGGGGTGGCCCAGGGGGCAGGGCAGCTGCCATGTGGAGGGCTGTGTTCCCATGGGCCTGGGGACAGTGAGGGGAAGACAGAGAAGGATTCAGACTCAGCTGGCCTGAGCCCTCAACACCACACTTCATAGTCTGCAGCATCCACCGGCATATTTCTCCCTTCACATCCAGATCCCACACACCCCGCCCACATCCCAGAGCCCCCTCCACAACCACATTCCACACACCTCAATCTACATCTACATCCTGTATAGCCTCCATCTAGGTCCCATACAATGTCCCCTCCAGTCACAGCCCATAGGACCCCCACTATCCCACTGCCCTCTCTGCCACATCTCTCATGGTCTCCACATTCTGGCCTAGGGCCCCACCTTCATGTTGACAAAGGCCCGCAGGTCTCCCTGTGGCAGCTCCAGCAGCAGCTGAACTAGGGTGGGGTTGGCGGCCTGCACAGCCAAATGCAGAACAGTCTTGTTGCTCTTGATCTCCTGTGGGGAGGTGAACGGCAGAGGTAAGGCCAGTCCTCACGCCCAGGCCCCCCGCCATGGAGCCCAAGAGCCTGTGGGGACCCTGCCTCTCCTTTGTAAGCACCCAGGGGTGCCTTATACAGTTGTATGGATTGTGCACTATACAAAAATACCACATTTAAGGGGTTGCCATTCACACCATACAAATCACTGAACTTTACATCTATTAAGATAATTTTCCAGCCCAAGCGTCTGGGGAAAAGGCTCCCTTCCTAATCCTCCAAGGTGTTCTCTGGGTTAGCAGCTGCTCTGGCCACCCCACATTCTATCAAGCACAGTAAAATGTACCCACATCCCATAGGGACTGTACTTTATTACAAGGATGAGAGCTGAGCAACATTAATCAGTGGATTAAACTAAGCCTGTGTCCATTTCCATATTAAGCTGTTCTCTTCATATTTTGGAGCAAATGAAGCCATTTTCCACAATGAAACTTTAGTATGTGCCTTTAAAGAGTTTGTAATGATAATATTAAAAATGTTAGGTAATCATACAGGGCAAAACAACCTAATTGGCTCACTAAATAAATTATGAAGAGAAAACAGAGATGGAGGGGGAGGCTCTAAGTTAAGAGTGACTTAAAAGGACATATCATTGCACCCTGGCTGGTGTGGCTCAGTCAGTTGAGTGCCATCCTGTGCACCAAAAAGTCGCCGGTTTGATTTCTGGTCAGGGCACATGCCCAGGTTGCAATTCGGTTACCAGTGGGGTACGTGCAGGAGGCAACTGATTGATGTTTCTCTCTCCCTCTCCCTTTCTCTCTCTAAAATCAATTTTTAAAAAACTTAAAAACAAACAAATCACTGCAATATGTGGGCTTTATTTGGATCCTCGGGATTTTTTTAATGAAAAAAATAAATGTATGACACTTTAGAGCCAAACAAAAGTTGAATACAGCCAGGATATTTGACGTTATGAAATTGTTAATCATTTCTAAGGTGGAATAATGGTATTGTGGCTAAGAATTCTTTTATTTATTTATTTATTTTTATTATTATTTTTTTAAATATATCTTTATTGATTTCAGAGGAAAGGAGAGGGAGAGAGAGACAGAAACATCACTGATGAGAGAGTCATTGATCAGCTGTCTAGCCCGGAAACCGGGCATGTGCCCTGACTAGGAATCGAACCCTGATCGCCTGGATCCTAGGTCGACGCTCAACCGCTGAGCCACACCCGGCTGGGCAAGAGTTCTTTTAAAGACACACAAATATTTATGGATAAACTTATATGCTTGGATTTCCTTAACATAGCTAAGTGGAGGCATAGATGGTGCAGGACTGGCTATGAGTTGCTTATTATTGATGTTTGTTTGGTACATGGAGTTCGTTATACTATTTTCTATACTTTATCAGTGTTAAAATTCTTTTTAAAAAAAAGCCAAAGCGATATGTGGATGTTTCATTCTCTCAGCTAGCTCGTAAAGGAAGGAGGGTAATATAAAATAACTGTTGAGAGCTCAGTTCTAAAATCAGACTACCTGGGTTCTAATCTCCTCTCCGACACTCACAAGCTGTAAGACTTTTTACACCTTGTACCTTAGTCTCCTTATCAGCAAAAGAGAGAAATAATAGCACACACATCAAAAGGTGTTTGTGAGAATTCAATATTCTATGAAACTCAGTGCTTGGTAAATATAGGCTAAGATCAGTAATATTATTTCCAGTGGACAATTGGGACACAGAGAAGTGAAGCAATGTGCTCCAGGACACAGGCTGGGAAAAGGCAAAGTCAGTGTTTGTTTGGAGCCCTGGACACCCAGGTGCCCCGATCCCATAAGCCCTCCTCAGGGCTGGCTGCCCATAGCCCAGCTCACCTGGCTGGTGTGATCGGCACCCATGTGCAGCAACATCTGGACGCAAGACAGCCTGTCTCGGGCCTGAGTACTCAGCACCCGGGGACAGAGGTCAGGTGGGAACATAGCAACATTGAGGGCCAGGATGGCTGTGTGGAGAGGGGTGAGGCCTGCGGAATGGAGACAGTGAGGGCTCTGCATCTGGAGCACCCAACCTGCCCAGCCCCACCTGCCACACTCGCCCTGTGCACCACCCAACTTACCCTCGAAGTCTCTGGCTTCTAAGTCAACCCGAACCCCTGAGTTAATCACAGCCTGGGAGGAAGAGAAGGCAGAGTGCTGGATTAGGGTCTCCCCCTGCCTCTCATTCCCGAAAGCCAGGATCTGGGCAATCAGTGCACCCCACCTGCCACAGCCATACCGAGAGGACTCCTGGGAGCCCATAGGTAGCAGCCACATGCAAGACAGACCGTCCCTGATGGTCAGTAGCATTGGGCTCCGCTCCCAGGTTCAGTAGATCCTCCACAATCAGGGGCTGATTGGCGGCAGCAGCCACCAGGAGAGGAGTCTGCAGGTGAAAGGAAAAGTCAGTCCCCCTCCCCTCTGAAAACCAGGAAGCCAGGCCCCGAGACCCTCTGCCCTCAGATTCAGTAATCCAAGCCCCTGGCCCTCACCTTGCCCTTATGCTCACGAATGTCCAGGTGTCTGTACACTTGGAGCACCTCCGCTGCAGCGTATGCTGCCCAACGCAGACCCCGAGCTGCCAGCAGGTGCAGGAGCCTGAGAACAGGTGGGGGCAGCAGTGAGTACAGCCCCCCCACCCCCCACCCCGGGCCAGGAGCCCACAGCCTCCAGTCCCCTATACTCACGTGTCTCCCTCCTCATCCTGGGCCAGCAGCCGCTGTGGCCCCAAGGCCAGCATATGGGCACGGGCTGCATCCAGGGATGGTCCGGTGACAACAGGGGGCAACTGTGGGGGTCCTGAGGGGAGCCCAGAACCTTTCCAGGATCCCACCTGTGGCAGGGAAGGTTCTGCATAGGGCCGGGTATCCAGGGGATCCTGAAGGGTACGGGTGGTGAGGAGAGCCAGTCAGCTGAGGATTCCCTCTTCCCAACCCAACCCACCACACACACACATAGAGAGCCCCAGGTAGGGAGGCTGCGTGTCCCACCTGTGCGAAGTGAACTTAGACCTTTGGGCCTTAATTTTGCCCATCTGAGGAATGGGATCTTAACCCAGCCCCAAATAACTCAGAACGCTGCATGAAGGCACCTGGGGATTTTGGGGGCCCTTCAGCATTCTGTTTCCACTCTGTATCTCACCTCCATCCCCAGGGGAAATGGATATGGTTGTCCTGGGTCCAAGAGTGGGCAGAAGTCAGAAGTCAGGAAACCTTCAGCAGCAGGTGTAGGATAAGAGTAGGGGCTGTCTGTGTAGGCAGCATGCGTATTGGGGCTCCAGTCTGGAAAGCCTGTGGTGGGGGCCAGGCTGCCAAGTCCAGAACCCACAGTCTCCTGGTGGGCTGGGAAGTGAGTATGGCCTGCATGTGAGAAGAGGAACAGGGGCAGGCCAGGTTACCAAAGTTAGGGAAGTCACAGCCAAGGCTGGAGGACCCGTGTGAGGGCCCGGAGTCTCCCAAGGTACTGAAAGCTAGTACTTCCAGGACCTAGAATCCTGGGACTCCAAGGGGTTGGAAGGTTGGACTTCTGGGACCTGGACTCCCAGGATGCTGAGGGGTTGAGGGCATAGACTCCCAGAGCACCAAAAGGCTGGGAGCCCGGGGCCCTGGGACACCAAAGGGCTGTGTGCGCAGACTACTGGGCTGCAGAGAACTTCTGGAAGATCAAACTTCCACTGGGTCCCGGCAGGAATCAGGGCCTGACTCCTGCTTCCCAAAGTTCTAAGAGTTGGGATAGAAGTCCCTGAGGGAAGCCGGGGCTGGGAGCTGAAGGAACCAAGTGAGGTTTCAGACTTACCAACCTCACCCTCGTTCAGGGATGGTGTCAGGGGCTGGGCCAGGGGAGGTGGGAACTGTCCCTGTAGAGACATAAGGAAAAAGGAACACAGTTGAATTTATCTGGAGATTCTTCAGCATCCATTCCCCAGCTGTAGGGCGTCTAAATCAGGACTACATCTCTCATCACCCCTGAACACCCAGCAAGCCAGCAGGTCCCTGCCCCACGGGACATGGCCTCCTGAGAGCCGCAGTGGACAGGGCTTCATGGGCCTCACCGGTGCCCCACCAGCGTCAGGCTGTTGCTGGCGGCGCCTCTGTTCTTCCAGGAGCTTTTTCACCGTCTGTGATGGGCAGTGGTTGCGCTCACTCCGGCTCACTGCGGGGTAAAGAGGGAAGAGAAATAATCAGCACCCGAGTTGGGGGCAGGGGCGGGGTGCGGGGGACTGGGCGCCCTCCTCGCCCTCCCGCGCGGAAAAATTGGCACACAGATGCCGCCTGAGAACTCCAAAGCCAATCTAAGGTTTCGGGTGCTGCGCCCGCCTCCGCCGTTTCCTTCCTTTTGCTCCGCACTTTCCCCTCTGAGCCAACTTTCCACCAGCGTCGTGGAAACTGAGGACGGGGGAGGAGGATGCCCCTCTGCGCGCACCCCCCCCCGCCCCACGACTTCCGTGAAAAATCCCACCGTCCCGATCTCCCAGTCCTGAGGCCTCGAGGGTTGTCTGGCATCACATCCTGGACCCGCACATCCAGGTTCCAACATCTCTCTTCCCAAGAAACTGCCCCGACACCCTTTCCTGGGGAAACCAGGCCCTCTCCCGGGGTAACCAGGACTCAAGAGCCCCTAGCTCCGCAGAGATGCAGCGGTCCAGACCCCATCCCCACCTTCCAGGCCCCATCCCGCCGGAGACCAGGAGCCCAGCAGCCGCTTCCCCAGGACCCGAGAGTCCGGACCTTCAGCCTCCTGCTCCCTCGGCCCTGGGAGTCCCAGCTCCCGGGCCCCTCGTAGGCACGACCCAGCAGGTCGGCGCCCTCCACGCGCGGCCTCCCGCGTCCGGCGGAGGAAGGGTTAAGGAGGAGGCAGGCTCGGGCCGCCCGCCGGCGCGCTG